GGGTCTACAACTTATAAAATAATTTTTTAAAAATAAAAACCCCACCACAAAGGACAGAGTGGAATTCTAAGTCTGTTGTCCCTAACTCTGGATTTCTCATTGACTTTTCACTTTTTGTCCTCATCGGATCAAGTCCCTTCTCCGAGCCTCAGTTTCCTTATTTATTGCCACTCAACTCTCACCTACTGACCAAGCTGCCTTCTCAATGATCACCCTCCAGTCAATTTCAGTTTCCAAACGTCATAAAAGGGAAACTCTTCAAAGAGTAAGAATCGAAACCAAACAGGCAGGCATCTTGGCTGGGGGCCTGGCCCTTTTTAAGGTGGCGCCGGACTCTCAGCCTCAGCCCTGGGCTCTCAGCCGCAGCACCTCCGTGAGGGGGCTCCTCGCCGGAGTTCCAGCTCGGGCCAGGCATCCTCACTTTATTCTCTCTTCCAGATCTCACCCCACAGACTGCTGGCGGACAGCCGAAGAGGGCCTCCCTTAAAAGCAGTGGCTTTGTACCTAGAGCTGGTCAAGTGTGTGGCTCTAACTGGCCCTGGACTAGGGGACCCCTAGAGAAGAGATGGCAGTGGCTCAGGAGCTCTTTGGTACCCCTTCTTCCAAGCTGGATGGCTTTGTGGTTCAGTGGCTGCAGCCCAGCAGGGAGTGGAAGGAGAAGGTGACGGAGGTGGTACGCGCCATGGAGCAGGCCCTCAGGAGCGAGCTCCTCCAGATGGAGTACAGACTGGACCCCAAGGTGCAGGTGCAGAAGGTGGTCAAGGTGAGACTTGTCCCTTCCCTGAAGGGCAGGGCCCAACACTTGCCTCTTTGATGGTCCTGTGGACCCTCTGCCTGGTCCTCCCTAGCCTATGCCCCTGCCTGGTCCTCCCTAGCCTATGCCCCTGGCATCTTAGGATACCCCATTAGTAGCCTTGTACCCCACACTGCTCCTAAGGAAGCTAGTTATTATTGCATACCATCAAGTTGGAACCAACCCATAACTGACCCTCCAGTCGCTTTTCAGAGGCAGTTAATCGCACAGGAGAAGACTGCCTGTTGTTCTCCTGCTGGTGGATTTGAACTACTTACCTTTAGGTTGCCAGTGCAGCACACCGATTGGCCCCCACTAGCATCTGTGATCTCCAGTTCATACACTCTGTAAGGACACTGCTCTTCTCTCCCATTTCACAGACGAGTAAAATAGAGGTTAGCAATTCTTAACAACCAAATGCAGGGCAAGGTCTGTGATTAGATTATGGGTTTTAATAATCCACCTGTAAATTACAACTTGGAACAATTGGGGAAAAGCCAGCAGAGGCTGGATGTTAAAAAACATAGTGACCTCGTGGTGCAACGGTAGCGTGTCTGACTCCAGATCAGAAGGTTGCGTGTTCAAATCACGTCGGGGTCAGGGGGAAATACCATTTTAACCAGCACCCACCAGAAACTAACTCCAAATAAACGCTTACCCTTTTCTTTAAAAAAAAAAAAAAAGAAAGAAAACATAAAGGAATCATTGTTGGTTTGGCCAGGTGTAATAACCGTTTTGTGGTTATGGGAAGAATGTTCTTTCTCTTTCTCCCTCGCTCTCTCGTTTTCTTTTTACCGAAGTGCTTCAATATTTTTGGGTGAAGTTTCCTAATGTCTGTAATTTGCTTAAAAAGTGGTTTAGATGTAGCAAAAGTGTCAAGGAGTTTAGACTTGTTGACCCGGAACTGAATGAGTATATGAGCTTTCAGTATCTTTTAATTTTTCTGTGCTTTCTGATTTTTATAATAAAATAATTTTTTTTAAACGGAGGCTCAGAGAAGTGAAAGGATTTGCCCATGTTCACACAGACAGCGTTAGAAATACAGGATTTGAGTCACGATCTGTTTGACTTGACAGCCAAGGCTCAGGGCCTACCCTGCTGAGACATTCCTATCTCCTAAAGTCAGGCAATGCTGCCGGTATGTATGTAAGTGCTGTGTATGGTGGCGATAGTGTTGATTTCTGTTGCTTTTGTTACTGAAGAGTTTGAGCCATCTGGCTCATGCCACGTCCTGTCGTTGCTCAGATCAAAATTCAAGAGTGTCAGAGTCAAAAGATCCTGGAGAATTAGATGGTCTCACTCTTTCAGCTATTAAAAAAAAACTAAGACATAGAGAGGGTGAAAGACATAGTTGAACAGCAAGTTGGTGGCAGAGGCAAAATGACGCAGCTAGAACTCCTGCCTCTCAGCCCAGGGCCGTACTTCTGTCTTCAGGGACAGGCCACTCCAGAGAAGGATTCTGAAACCTCAGGTCCCTGTCCCTTTTTATCTGCCCCCACTTTGATTTCGAGGTGAGAAATCAGAACTCAGTATATTGGAAGGAGTTGAGGGCTGTCAGAAGAACTTGGTATTTCTGAAGGACTTGAGAAACCAGAACTTTGTATATATCAGAAGGACTTTGAGTTTTATTCTCAACATTTTCACTTTTCTGCCTCTGTGGCTTTGGATTTGCCATCTCATCCCTCAAATCCTAGGTTTTCTTATCTGTAATTGGGGCATAATCATCCTGTCTCCTAAAATCAGGCCACGCCAGTGGGTTAAATGATTGGCGTGTATGGTGGTTGTTATTGCTGTTAAGTGCTGTGGAGTCAAGTATGACTCATAGCGACCCTGTGAACAACAGCTCTGAACCCTGTCCTACCTAGCGCCGTCCTCCTCATCTCTGACACACCTGAGCCCATTGCTGCAGACACTGTGTCAATCCATCTGGTTAAGGGTCTTCCTCTCTTTCGCTGACTCTTTACCTTTCCACCCATGATGTCCCTTTCGAAGGAATAGTCTTTCCTAGCAACATGCCCGAAGTATGTGAGATAAAACGTTACCATCCTTGCCTCTAAGCAGCATTTTGCCTGCACCTTCCCTAAGACATATAACTATTTGTTCTTTTGGCAATTCACAGGCTATTCAATACTGTTCTCCAGCACCATGCTCAAAGGCATCCATTTTTCTTCAGTCATAGTTGAACTTATTCATTACACAGCAAGTGATTGAAAAGACCATGCCCTGAATCAGGCACACCTTAGTCTTCAGAGTGACATCTTTGCTCCTCAGTATCCTGGAGAGGTCCCTGACAGCAGACTTTCCCAATGCAATATGTCTTCTGATCTCCTGACTGCTAGTTAGGAGGCAAGGATGTTGATTGTGGATCCAAGCTGTTGCAAGATGTCAACTTACAAGGACTCTGTACACGAGGCAGCAAAACCCCTCCTGATCCTTAAAATCTCTGCTGCGCTCACACCCACGGTTCCAGTCACCATGTCAGTCCGTCTCTTTGAAGATCTTCCTCTTTGCCCCTTACCCTCCAGTTTCCAAGCATGTTGTCCTTCTGCAGTGACTGGCCTCTCCCAATAGCAGGCCCAGAGTGTGCGAGACGGGGTCTCACCATCCTTGTTTCTAAGGGTGTATGTGGTCAGTGCTCAAAAAAGGCGACGCATTGTTAATCATTCTTGCCCAAATATCTTTGTAAATTGGGGTGCCAGTATGACTCACACAGACCCTCACAACTGTGAGGATGAAGCGGATGGAATGGGGGAGGGCTGGGGAGAAGCAGATGCCAAAAATAGATGAACTTTGATGGCAAGAAGTAGTGTTTGCACAGCTCCAGATCCGGCTCTTAGACCTTAGCCGTGTCTCCCCTGGAGACCGTTAAATCATAGAGGTAGCCGATGAGTGATGCATGCCAGTGATGAAGAAACCTTTATGAACTCTGAGCCCCAGAACAGAAAGTCTGGAGAGCTAGGTTGATCCATATACGTGAATGTTGTCCTCAAATGAGTTAAGTTTAAAGTAGGTTTGAACCAAGATTTCTGAGTGGAAAAAATGGTTTCCAACCAACTACTGACCAGATCTCTCTCTCTCTCTCTCTCTCTCTCTCTCTCTCTCTGTGTATGTGTGTGGGTGTGTGTGTGTGTTAAGTACCGTCAAGTCAGAACCAACCCATAGTTGACCCTCCAGCAGGTTTTAAGAGGCTACTAATTACACAGGAGGAAATTACCTATCCTTCTCCCACAGAGCAGCTGGTGGATTTGAACGGCCTGCCTTCGGGAGATTGCAGTGCAGTTTTTACCACTAGGCCACCAGAGCTCCCCGACCAAATGGCTAGTGGAGTTAAATCTACCCAGAAACTCTGATGAATAAAATAGGTGAAGTTTGATGGCAAGAAGTAGTGTTTGCACAGCTCCAAATCCAGCTCTTAGACCTTAGCCACGTTTCCCCTGGAGACCTGGAAGCCTGGCTGTCTACTTCCATCTGGGTCGGTTCTGCTGTGTGGCACGTACACTTGCCATGTGGCAGAACGGACTCAGTGGCGAGAATGCAAATCATCAAGCCTGTTCTGCTTTGCTCGTCCCTCTCTGCCCGAGTCTTTCCTCATGGGAGGGCAGAAAGGACAGTCTGAGGTCAACCTTCAAGCTGACCTTCAACTTGCCTTTCCCCACCTTCTCACATGAGGCAGAAGGGCAAGTGGAGAAAGAATGAAAAAAAGGAAGGGGGAAGAAAGATGGGACTGCTTCGCTTTTAGAATCAGGGCCTGAGTCACCCAATCTGACTCCACCACCAGTTGGCTCTGAGACCTTGGCAAGCTGGTTCACCGCACAGTGCTTCCGTTTACTTCCTCATCAAGTGAGCAGTGGTGTGAAATGGTTAAGCGCTCAGCTCCTAACGAAAAGGTCTGTGGTCTGAGTTTACACCTAGAGGGGCCTCAGAAGAACGCCTGGCAACCTGCGGCTGAAGGATGACGCTCATGGGACAGACATGAGTCAAAGGCAACTGGTAAACCAGAGGCCGGAATGGTCGTTCAGAAGCATAAGGGCTTTCAGGGGCATCTGACTCAGGGAGTGCCTGGCACATGAGAACCAGACTGTAACTAAAGTCCAGTGACCAGTGTCTGAGAAGACATGGCTGACCAAAGTCCTAAGGTCTGTTGTGTCCTTATCACGTCCACCTCTGAGAAGGGCAGAGCGTGGTAGGGCGTTGTATCCTGGAAGTAACAGGCCCTAGAGATCAAGCCTAGACTCTGAAAAGGTCAAAAAGTCCTGCTCAGGATTACACAGCTCAAGTTCCTTGCATTATAGATGGGGAAGCTGAGGCCCAGGCACCAGGTGGGATTGCCCACAGATGGAGCAGAGGCTACCAGAAGAGGAGACAGAGGCTGGAGGCAGGAGGGAGGGAGAGACAGATTGCTGGCTTCCTGTGTGCCGCCTGGCACGCTCTGTCCCATCTCATTCCCCACCCCCGCCCGTAGCCAGTGATTCATTGTACATTTTACACACACATCACTCAGGAGGATGGATTCCACAGCCAGGACCTTGGAGCAGGAGTCAGGGTCAAAGCGAGGCTGTCCTGTTCCATAGACCTCAGCTCTTAGCTACTTAGCAATCCTGCTTCCCCTTTTGGACATCCTAGAATTACCCAGATTCCTCAGAAACCTCCAAAGGATGCTTAAAGCAGGTATTACTATTACCATTTTGCGGGTGAGAAGACTGAGACCCAGAAGCGATAATATTACGCCATCGTTAAAAAGAATGGGCTTTTGAGACAGAGTGCCTGGGTTAAGCCCTGTACTCTACGATCATGGGAAAGCAATGCCTTAGAATTCTAACCTGTAAAGTGGGGGTATTAAGGAGCTCTTGGGGGCGTCACCTAAACCATGTGGTGCTGCTAACTGAAAGTGGGGACAGGGGAGCTCTGATGGCCTAGTGGCAAGAAGCTGCACTACAATCCTAGAGGCATGCAGTTCGAATCCACCAGATGCTCTGCTGGAGAAGGAGGGATAATATCTTCCTGTACCAGTCAGATCTGGTTTGACGG